GAGCGCTAGCCTTGAGCTGAAGAGCTGAGGGACAGCGCCCAGGCCTAGAGTTCAGGCCCCACGACCAGACCCAAAAAAAAAAAAAAAAGAAATAAAATCCTAGGTACTCAGAAAGCTGAGATCTGAGAATCACAGTTTGAAGCCAGCCCAGGCAGGAAAGTCCATGAGACTCTTATCTCCAATGAACCACCAGAAAATGGGAAGTGGCGCAGTGGCTCAAAGTGGTAAAGCAAAAGATTCAGGGACAGCAGTGCCCAGACCAAGTTCAAGCCCCACAACCACCAACAACAAAAATATATACATACATACATACATATATATATATATATATATATATATATTCTATATTCTATATAACTACACATATACATGTATATAAGTATCTAGAAAGAAAAGCAAGGCTATATAAATATACGATGTTGTTGGGTACAAATAGATCAGGCTTGTCATCCTAGCTACTCAGGAGGCTAAGATCTGAGGATGGTGGTTCAAAGCCAACCTGGGCAGGGAAGTCCATGAAACTCTTATCTTCAATAAACCAGCAAAAAAGCCAGAAGTGGAGCTGTGCCAAGTGGGAGAGCATTAGCTTTGAGCAAAAAGTCTAAGTGAAAGAGCCTATGCCCTGAATTCAAGCCCCAGAAGTAGCATCAGATAGATAGACAGACAGATAGATAGACAAACAGAAAGTCATTTTCTTTTTTTGGTCAGTCCTGGGGTTTGAAACTCAGGGCCTGAGCACTATCCCTGAGATACTTCTTTCTTTTTCCTTGAGCTTCTTTCACTAAGGCTAGCACTTTACCACTTGAGCCATAGCGCCACTTCTGGCCTTTTCTGTTTTATGTGGTACTGAGGAATCGAACCCAGGGCTTCATGCATGCTAGACAAGCATTCTACCATTAAGCCACCTTCCCAGCCAAGTCATTCTCTTTGACGATTCACAAACGTACAGAGTTAAAGCCTCCATGTAACAGCCAGCCTTCTTGAGCTGTCCTGAGCTGTCCCACTGTCCAGCCTGAACTCGTATGGAGCAGAACCCTTACCGACTCGAAGATGGCCACTCCATTGGCCCCAATGTTGCCGCTTGGGGTGACACCCAGACCTCCAATCAGCCCCGCACACAGGTCACTGCAAGGCAGAAAAGCATTGTACAGGATACAGCGAGAGGAACACATCTCATCTTGTACTCAGATCTCAGCTGTTAAATCCCATTCTCCACTCAGAGGAAGCAGAGCTCTTGCAGACAGAGCTGTGCCCAGAAGCAAGGTGAGGAACGAGGGGCTGGGCCCAAAAGACACTGAAAGCACTGGGAAAGGAGCCACCCTGGCTCCGCCCAGACACCCCAGCCTTCAGGTTAAGGGATGCCAGTTATAGACACAGCACCAAATCACCAGCAAACCAGTCAGTAAGCAAACAAACAAGAGATGAGAGGGGACGCTCTTCATTATGGTTAGACTGCTAACAGACAGAATGATGGGCTTCGAACATCAGCTACTCAGGAGGCTGAGATCTGAGGATCATAGTTCAAAGCCAGCCTGGGCAGGGAAGTCCATGAGCCTCTTACTTCCAATGAAACAACAAAAAACTGGGAATGGAGGTGTGGCTCAAGTGGCAGAGTCCTAGCCCAGGCACAAAAAGAAAAAATCGCCCTTTGGCCAACAACTTGTTGGAGTGGGAAGAAAAAGGAGGGAAAGAGAGCAAAAGAGGGAAAGAATGATAAAGTATGATCAAATGAAAGAGGTGGTCAGCAAAAAAAAAAAAAAAGAGCCCAGGTGCCGTGGCTCACACCTGTAATCCTAGCTACTCAGGAGGCTGAGATCTGAGGATTGCAGTTCAAAGCCAGCCCGGGCAGGGGAGACTGTGAGACTCTTATCTCCAATTAACCACCAAAAAGCTGGAAGGAGAGCTGTGGTTCAAGTGGTAGAGTGCTAGCCTTGAGTGAAAAAGATAAGGGACAGTGTCTAATCACTGAGTTCAAGCCCCAGGACTGGCACAGAAAATAAATTGGAAAATGATTACCGTCTACTTAGATAGGAACAAAATTGAGCAAAATCAACCAATCAATAAAACATGGAAAATGGGAACAATGAAGTCAGGGTGCAATAGTCACCCAGAGCTGATTGGCAGATAGACAAATGGTCCGGTCTGTTCAACATAGAGTCTCTGCCAGGTGCTGTGGCTTACACCTGTAATCCTAGCTACGCAGGAGGCTGAAATCTGAGGATCATGGCTCAAAGCTAGCCTGGGCAGAAAAGTCCATGACACTCTTATCTCTAATAAACTACTCAGAAAAAGCCAGAAGTGGCACCGTGTGGCTCAACTGGTAAGAGTGCCAGTCTTGAGCCGAAGAAACTCAGAGACAAGAGCTTAGGTCTTGAGTTCAAGTCCCAAGACAGGCAAAACAAAACAAAACAACAAGAACAACAACAAGAAAATATGAAGTCTCTGACATCAGGTCTGAGGTTTTGGAATTCAACGCCTAATCTGATAACACATGCTATGGTTTATAACTGAAAATTGCAGCTGAGAATTTTAAGCTGTGGCTGACTTTAGGACATTTACATGGCAATAATAGACAGCCAGACTTACCTAAGGATGTCTCCGTACAGATTTGGCATGACAAGAACATCAAATTGGGATGGATCCTGTACCATCTGCAAGGAATATATTTGAGCATCAGCGAATAAATGTGTGACAAACACGTGCACACACAAAAGGTAACCCTATAAATATGAATGCATACTTACATTCAAACACACTGTATCGAGATACATCTCATTAAATTTAATATCTTTACAGTTTTCTGCAACTTCCCTGCATTTCTGCAGAAAAAGTCCATCTGACATCCGCCTGGAAAGGAAGTTCAAGAAAAAAATTTTTTTGTCAGTCATGGGACTTGAACTCTGGGCCTGGGCAATATCCCTGAGCTCTTCAGCAAAAGGCAAGCGCTCTACCACTTGAGCCACAGTGTCAATTCTGGTTTTCTGGTGGTTAATTGGAGATAAAAGTCACGGATTTTCCTGCCTGGGTGGCTTTGAACCATGATCCTCAGATCTCAACCTCCTGAGTAGCTAGGATTATAGGCATGAGCCACCGTCACCCAGCAAGTTCAAAAAATTTTAAGTTTCAGGGGCTGGGAAGGTGGCTCAGTGGTAGAGCGCTTGCCTTGCATGCTTGAGGCCCTGGGTTCGATTCCTCAGCACCACATAAGCAAAAAGAAAAAAAAGCCAGAAGTGGCGCTGTGGCTCAAGTGGTAGAGCGCTAGCCTTTAGCTGAAGAGCTGAGGGACAGCGCCCAGGCCCTGAGTTCAGGCCCCATGACCGGACTCAAAAAAAAAAAAAAAAAAAAGTTAAGTTCCAGGGTGTAACAATGATCGATTGGAAATGCACTCATTATTTTAGTCATGTAACTGTAACCCCCCGTACATTATCTTTACAATAAAATATATTAAAAAAAAACACCAAGAGTCCTACCAGCTACTATGATCAGAATGGAAAAGTTGGGTTTCATTGTGAAGAAATCATACAATAAAGCACTAAGCAAGGCCAGAAAATATGTTGAAAAAAAATTTTAAGTTCCAGAAAAGCCAAGTTGTCTAATTTCAGTGACAATTAGATGATTCCGTAGGCAGCTGATAAAATGCAAGTTTAAAGTGTTGATCCAAGCTGGGCACCAGTGGCTCACGCCTGTCATCCTAGCTACTCAGGAGGCTGAGATCTGAGAATCAGGGTTCAAAGCCAGCCTGGGCAGGAAAGTCTGTGAGACTCATCTCCAGTTTAATCATCGAAAAATCCAGAAGTGGTGCTGTGGCTCAAGGGGCAGAGTGCCTGCCTTGAGGAAAAGGAGCTTAGGGACAGTACCCAGGCCCTGGGTTCGAGCCCCAGGACCAGAAAAAAAAAAGTTGTTGATCCCAACAGGAAGACTAGCTATATTATTAAAATCACTTTAGGAGATTACTTGAAGTGGTAACTTTTCTTAGTGTGTGTGCTGGTCCTGGGGCTTGAACTCAAGGCCTGAATATTGTCTCCCAAGCTTTCTGCTCAAAGCTAGCTCTCTACCACTTGAGCCACAGTGCCATTTCCAGCTATTTTTAGTGGTTCTTTGGAGATACGAGTTTTACAGACTTTCCTACACTGGCTGGCTTCAAACTGCAATTCTAAGATTTCAGCCTGCTGAGTCTAGCTGATAACAGGTGTGAGTCACTGGCACCCAGCAGTTAGTGACTTTTTTTTTTGGTCAGTTGTGGGGCTTGAACTCTGGGCTTGGGCGCTGTCCTTCAGCTCTTTAGCTCAAAGCAAGTGCTCACCACTTGAGCCACAGCGCCACTTCTGGTTTTCTGAGTAGTTAATTGGAGATAAGAGTCTCACGGAGTTTCCTGCCCAGGCTGGCTTTGAACGGCGATCCTCAGATTCGGCCTC